TCATATATGTCCATCGCTTTTGTTGCTATAATTGTTAGAAAGGTGGCTACTCTGACCTCCTCTGATTTTTCCGACAATTTAGTGGCTAACTCATAGTTTCGCCATCTCCGGTGAAACTTTTGCCAATTAGCGGCCATGTTATCTTCTACCTCGAGCGGCTCGGGCACAGGAAGTAAATTTCTAGCTGCCATTGCACGGCGTAGCCCTGTAATTGTTGCCTATTTATTATTGCAAACAATAAACCTTTATATACTGATTAATGATTACATCTGATCATTAATACACCGCTGCCACCATGATAATTAAGATCTAGGTTCACAGTCAGCAATAAACAAACAACCATTAGTGTCATGGCGGAGAACGATACTTTATTATATTAAACGCGTGCACCATATCAACAATCACCACTTCAGTCAATTACAATTTCTTTCCCTTGTTCTAGATACCAAAACAAAACAATTTATTACCAATACTTTATTAACTAATTGGTCAATATTTTTTTTAGTGATTCTTGAGTTATCAGGTAAAAAAATTGTGCGAAATTTCAGTTTGATCCGAGATTGGGTGTGGGAGAAATCACGTGTACAAACTTTTTACCAGACAGACTGGCAGACAGATAGAGTTGACATAAGCTTTGTAAAAACCACACATTCCATAGTTACAGCTACAAACAAAAATCTAATAAATATTTTTTTTTAAATAAATAACGCACTTTTCATGCTATAAGCATGCTTCGTGCGTTCTGGTCAAATCTTTTGTTTTGATCCGTGAGTGGGAATGGGGTCTAAGAGAAGGTTTCTGCGCTGCTTTTAGGCGCCCAGCAAACACAAGCTCAAGGAGGGATTCGAAATTGAGCACCATTGATAGGTAGCCAAGAGGTTTTTTTGCCTCTCCTCCCACATTAAAAAAAAAGCTTTCTTTTTTTTTTTTTAGAAATTGCTTTATCTTTCGGTATTTGAGAATGTGTCCACAAATGACACCTGTTATTGTTATAGGTAAGTTAAGAACTATCTAGAATATTCTAGAATATGGTCTGGTTAGTTTCTCTTCACATCAAACCTGAATCGATGTGTGACCATCATGTCTTCAGCCTTCCCTCCACCCAACTCCCCCGGCACCACGTTGAGAGACATTGGCCAACATAATATAACTAGGTCTTGCATAACATGCCTCGTGTTGGCATCATGTCACGTGGAGACGTCGCGTGCCACCAGATGAAAGAATAGAGCTTTCGTCATATGATAAGATTCTCTCTGCTTAGTAGCAGACGATACGTAGTAATTAGTAATAGCATTAAACAAGGGAGGCAACTTCTGTACACATCTGCTACGAGGGTGGAATATAGATCACTAGTGAGACCACCAATTCTGAGTTTTTTTGTGTGCCTTAGAAACAATAAGAAATTAAAAATCTTTTAAGAATCAATCATAACCTTATAGCACTTTTTAAACTACGAATAACGAAGATTCTATATTTTTTGGTTTTTGACACAATTTAAGCCATGTCGTGCCAAGTAATATCCACTATAACTAGACAAAAAAATCAATTCGTCCTTTGATTGTGCTCTATAAACTCATATTTTAAGTATCATTTATTTTACCTTTACCTATCCCTTAGTCTGTTGAATCGTTGGGGGTACCATGCATGATCCGTCGCCGTCTTTCTCCATTCCTCTCTGTCTTTTGCCTAAGATAGAACCTCTTTCAATGGCAGGCCGGTCCATTCTTTTGTGTTGTCTTCTTTTTCCTGGTACTATTCCCTGAAGGAAGGTCTTTGCGAGCCCCGAAGACCTTGTAATATGGCCATAGATGTTTAGCTAGCATTATTTTACGATAGTTAGCAGGACCTTGTGGGGTCTAATCGCGGCAATAAACCTGTCTCTAAAATCTCTTGGTTTGTGATGTGGTCTTTAATTGTGATACCTAGGATCCTTTTGTAGCATCTCAATTCCATTGCTAGGATCCTCCGCCTCTCGCAAGCATAAAAGAATGTGGCTATGACCAGTACCACTAATAGTGAGATATATTTCTAGTGAGCTTTGCACAGGCCAATTCTTCTATTTACTGTTCAGCTTATTTCTACATGAGACGGTGTGTGTAAACTGTTCAAGAACGTCTATGGATTTCTAAAAAAAAAATATTTGTACTAAATATATGAAACATTTGAGTCGATTGCGGGAATACGTAATTCAAAAATGTTCAAAATAGCCTAATTTCATTTTAAGCTGATATTTTGATTAATTATAACGGTCAGACGAGAGTTTACACGGGGTGGCCAGATTTACCTAAAAAAATGTCACATTTCTAGGAAAAATGTCACATTTCTAGGAAAATCGTTAGAGCCAATTTCAAAATGTCAAAGTGTCCAGGTTCCAACCAGTGTTTAACTTTCTAATGACTTTGCAAGTTGATCCAGGTTCCAACCAGTGTTTAACTTTCTAATGACTTTGCAAGTTGATCCAGGTTCCAACCAGTGTTTAACTTTCTAATGACTTTGCAAGTTGATAGGAGGAATACTAATAATTTAAGTTACCAAACCAATTATAGGCTCCAGGCGCTGTGATAACATAAGAAACATAAACGCAATAATTAAAATGACAAATACCAAACATAAACGCAATAATTAAAATGACAAACGAACCTAATAAAAATCCTCATGATAAAACAAGATAAAACCATGAGTTGTATAAAATATATTTATTAATATAGTGGTTTTTAGTTTGCAATGGTAAAACTTGTAATTTCCATATAAATATTTCCCAAATTCAAACAGCTATATACACACACACAGCAGAGAATGGTACAGATTTCTAGGAGAAAACTTTTGGAACACACTCTGACACTTGACATCAAAAAGACACGAAACAAATACTTATGCTAGTTCGCCAAGGCCTAAACAGTTCCAATGTGTCAAGAACCATAAACATTCTGCATTTGACACATAGTTAGTTTTTGTTTAATTTAAATGACTTATAATACCATATAAACTAAGACAACAATAACCATTATAAAAAAACATACATCATTTGACACATTGAATACAATCCTAACAAAGGATAAGGATGATAATAATTGAATTACAAATATGATGTAAGTTACTGAATACAGTTTTAATGCATACAAAATAATGTAATGCTTTGTAATCAATGAATCCTATTACTCCCGAGCCACTGAATTAAATAACTCTTCCTTATTACAGAACTTTGTCAAAATTTGAAATAATGAGAGCTGCCTTTTCTGAATGGGTTTAAAAAAAATCCTCACTGGAAATTTTTAGAAATTCAAGAGAATCAAAATCAAAGTTTACATTTAGCTCAATTTATTCAAGAAATCCTAAACCTAATAAAAAAACAAAGATGTACCTCATAAAAAACAACATGATACAGTATTTTATGCATGACGACATAAGGTAGGACCTAGCATTCAACATCAAAATGAAAGACTTAACAAATGTAATTAGTAAATATACTCATAGCTTATACACTAAATTGAAGCATAAATCTGAATTAAAACACATATACACTTGACCATTAAAATACCCAGCATGAATAAGATCTTAAAGGACATATCCTGACAACACACAAATTGTATAATAAAACACATTAACTACCACCTGTACCGTGCTTTCCTAAAACATTTTTAAATTCACATAATTATTGAGTCGAAATTGAAGACAACAATAATAAACGTTTGTTTTCTCTCTCTATATATATATGTACAAATACATGCATAAAAATAATTGAAAATACTTTTAAGAATCAAACATTACAAAGTGCAATTACAGACATATATTTATTTATGTTTGATTCTTAAAAGTATTTTCAATTATTTTTAAGCATGTATTTGTACTGTTCTGTTTCTTTAAAGGTAAATGCATTGTGTACATTTGTTGCATTAATTTCTTTCTGAATAATTAAACTCAGTATTATTATCAGAATTCCCTCCAATATACATTCGCTGTACATTAAATAAAGGAAAAAAAATGAATATTTCTTTTTAAAATCCTAAATAATTAAGTGGTTCTGGTTTATGTGTTGTATTTAGTCTTTGAAAGCCCCTAAGCTATTTCAGATATGCTGCCTTTTAAGTCAAGATATTATATGCTGGTGCTAAATATTTCTTGAGGCCTTAAGCTAACGCTTGTGCTGCTTATATGACGCTGTTGAAAGCTAATCATCTTACTTTTTTAATAGCAATACTTATTCTTTACTAATTCAGGTTTTAGAGAACCGACCTACGAATATTTTTTGAAAAGTGCAAAACTATTGTAAACTCACATTACCCTTACGTTTAGTTTATCAAAGTGTCTTAGATATTAGATTGTAGGAACTGAAGTTCTACAAACAATTTAAATATATTTACATAGAATACAAATATTCTTCCATTCATAAAAAGAAGACTTATAAATAAATACACTTAACTTGCCTTTAAAATATTCCTATAGTAAAACATAATTGAATAAATGAGAGCATTTTTAAAAAATCCAATGAATTAGTCAAATTCTTGTAGCATTTTTTTTTGTAATAGATTTTGAAAGCACCAGAAATAACTAAAAATGTAATTTAACTATCAAAGTGTAACACTTGTGACAAAAGACTTGTTTAAACAATGGTCCCTGATCAAGTCAAATAGAACTAGAAATCCAATGCTAAAAAATAGTTACATTTTTAATGAATGGTGATTAAAAAGTGGCTGGTTTAGAGGTTAAACTAAAAACTAAGATCAGACACATACACACAATGAACAAAACAAAAGATTATCAGTATTCAAAAAGTGTAAAAAAAAAAAAAAAAAAGGTTATTAAAGGCACAGAGCGATTTCAGCAGAGGACCTTGTAACATAAAAGTGTAAAACTAATGATTTCAGCAGAGGACTTTGTAACAAAAGAGTGTAAAACTAATGATTACAGCAGAGGACTTTGTAACATAAAAGTGTAAAACTAATTATTTCAGCATAGGACCTTGTAACATAAAAGATTGTAAGGAAAACAGACTAATGGTTTCAGCAGAGGACCTTGTAACATAAGAAAAACAACTAATGGCACTTAGATGAATCAATGAAAAAAAATAAAACTGTCCTTATCATAAAGCCCAGTCTACCCAGAGAATTTACTATACAATGACAGTAAAATAACTAAACAATGGCAATTTTAAAAAGATCTATGAATAGAACTTGAATGTTTCAAAAATATCAATTGAACCAAATCTCTGCCATTTCCTCTCAAAGAACATTTAACTCTCAGTCCCAAACTTCTACAGCAATAACTAAAAGACAATGTTGAGAAAAAAATAATGTATAAATACACACATAGGGAGTTTAGAGAAAACTAACTAACAGTAAACAAACACACTTTTTTTTTTTTATAAATGAGATTTTTGTGGTTTTAATGAAAAAACTGTGTTAATGTCAATTTAAATGTCATATACATTATGGTACCGGTACTCCTTCAAAATGAGACAAAAAAAAAAGACATTTATATTTCTAGTTTTGAATTGAGATTTGCAGTGCCAATGTCAGAACACAAATTCTATCAAAATGAACTAATACAGCCTACAAGACACACTAAGAAGTAGGATCAGAAAGTTGTCTTAAAGGGGTGTTAAATTTAGTCAAAATAAGTATCTCTTTCTAAATAAAAAATTGTTCAAATATTTTGTTCATTAACAGAAAATGCTATATTAAAATATATACCGCTACTCAGTATGACAGAAAAAAAAGTTTAACTTATAACACAAAGAATGAAGTCAAAATAGATTTCATGATAAAAAAGATGAGAACAGATTGTAGACACAGCAATGCTATCAAGGCAGTTAGTTATAGTCTCCTACATCATACAAAAAAATGAAGAGAGAATCAAAGAGTCTAAGCATTTAAACATTAACTCAAACAATCAGACCAATTTTCAATAATTCATTTCAATACAGTTGAATACAAAACATCTATGTAAACATCTAGAAACTTGTAACAAAAACAAGAGGGCTTAACATGTTTACATTGATGTCTGTTAAGAAAAAAATTAAATCCCAGGACAGTGCCAAACACATAGACTATAGAGAATTCTATATTGGCAAGTCAATTATATGAGCAAGTCTTATTATGCATTTGATGGTAGCAGCCACTAGCACAGGATGAAATTATTAGCAGTCGCTTCGTCAACAATAACAAGCCAAGTTACTTAGAGGGTTTAAGAGAAGTTGTTAAGTTGATTTTTTTTAATGTGATAACATTTTCTAGAGATTTTCTCTCACGCTTCAATGAGCCCTAGTATCATGCCTAACATTATTATATTCAAGTAAATTGAAAGACATTCTATCCAAAGACTCACATCTCTTATCTTGAGCAAACAGTATGAGCATAGAAAATAAACCAACATTAGGTATTTATTTATACAACAAACATTTTAAACATGGATGCTTTATCATGTAATTAACATTTAATATATGTATGTATATTACAATCATTAAGAGCCATGCATCAAAAACTTGACATAAGCTAGATTTAACTAAGTTAAACAAAAGAAAAGCAGCTTTATTTAATCTGTTAATCTGCAGCCCTTTGCATTTCCTATTTTTCTCAAATAGCAAGAACCTAGACAGTGATGAAACCCACAAGACATTGAAATGAAAACAAAACCTTAAAAAACAAACATAGGGGGCAAAAAAAAAACACAAACAACCCCCAAGGAGAAAGACAAATGTCACTTACTACACCAGCATGTTGTTAAGAAGAGCTTTAAAATCTATTTTATTGTTTAGTCTTCAAATGGATGTAATAAAATATACTACTAGTTTGTTTAACTCCTGAGCAATATGCATTCCTACAAACAGCAGGTGTAACAAGTGAAATCAATTACCAGTCTCAGTGTTTAAGGGAAAAAAAAAGGTAATTTGATTTAAATCATTTAACCTTATAGCAAGTATTAAACTTAGGCAGTCAATCAGTTGTCCTATAGGGTACAGAACAAAAGCAATCACATATGTACATATTTAATTTAATTTATTGTTACTATTAGGCTCTTAATTAATTGTCCCATACGAAAAAGAACAAAAACAATCAAATGTGTAAATCTTAAATTCAGATATATTGTTACCATTAGCCAGTCTTTCCCTCAATAGGTTATTGCACTCTTATTTGGATAAACTATCAACCTTAGTGTAATCTCTCACATTTAAGACATGTGGAACAACATGCCAGCAAAGAAGGAAAACCTTCACTACAGCTGATTTAGATTAATACAGAAATATGCCTATGGCAAAGTGACTAAGGGTCATCTGATAGAAACATAATGAAAGCGTGGGCTATAATTAAAACATTGCTGTTAGAAATATTCACTTCCTTTCAAAAGACATAGCTTTTAAGAGTTCATACATTTAGGGCATTTAGCTCATAATATTCAGCTTTCTCTCTCAGCCACACAATCAACCAGAATGCTACCTGCTACAATAAGGAACAATAATGGAATATAATAATCGTAATAATAAATGGGTAATACTGTCAATAAAATAATAAAATAAAAAAAAAACTTGCCAGGTGGGACAAGAGTCAAAGAATTTATTAATAAATTAAATGTGCTTTTTGTTTAAATCAACTTTGGTGTAAGATGTTAAGAAACCAATGCTGTTCATCTACAGAGTGCAGATGGTACAACAGAGACAAAGTGAAAACCATTTTTAAAAGCTAAATTATTTTTGTAATTAAATGACATATAAGCTTAAAAGTAAAATGGCTGTAGGACTGTAATGTGAAGGATTTTAAATTACTTTAAATAGTTCAAGACTATAGGTATTTTTTAAGCATGTATGTAGATCTTATAATTTTTTTTCTATTTATAATTTTATTATTTTAAAATCATTTAAAATAATCGAGAAGATTTCAAAACCATTGTTTAAAATCTAAAAACATTTCATATAAATTAAGATAAATAATAACAAACAGATATGTATCATCCAATAAAAGATGGATCTATATACAGCTATCGCAGTTATATCTAAATAATATCACTGAATTTTGTGTATTTTATTGAATACAAGGAATGTGAAAAACTCTTTCAGTGAAAGACTATGAGACACTGATTAGTTTAACAATCAAGCAGTTTATTCCCATCTATAATCGCCAATGATCGCTTTATCACTTTTTTGTATAACAAACGTGTTATAGTTATATTAAAACACAAACCAAAAAAACATGTTCATGTCATATTTTTTTATTAATTTAGTTATCTGTCCCCTAAATCTATTTATTCCTTATGATGATCAGAAAATGGCTATGTAGGACAGTGCTCTTCAAACTGTTTAGGGAGAAGCACCTAACTTTTTAAAATAAATCCTATTCACCACAAAATATTTATAAATCTATATTTGAATTCATAATTCATTGTAATACTAAGAGGTTATTAAATAGTAACTGATAATGAGATCATATGGCAATCATTTCAAACTGCAAGAGCTACAAAATTATTCATGTATGATGAAGCAGAAATAACGTGGATGAAAATTAAATACATGTTAAACCTCAAGAAAATGTAAGTTTAATGTATACACTACATATATGTACAAAACAAACCAACAAGTTTAAAGACCCTCAAGCAGAATAAATGAAAACGAAGCAGATAAAGAAATAATAATTAGGTGATACAACCTTCTTCTATCAAGTCAGAAAAGAGAAAGGAGGTGTCTAGTGTAAAAAAACAACTCTGGAATGTAAAGAACCCTGGAAGCATCATCATTTCATTTAGCTTAGTCTGAGTGTATATATATATATATGTATATATATCTTCTGATAAGTAGTGTTAATACTTTGCCACCCAGAGGTCATGTGGTAACACCCAAACCCTTGCTACATTCTACGTACTAGTTTGTCAACACATTATTGACACAGAGACTTAGTACGGTACTTAGAGTTCACATGTGTATTTAGCTTCATCCAGCAACATCATAAGTTCAGCATTAATAAAATTGTACACTGTATCCTACTAGACCACCTCTCTTAGACTCCTTGCCACTCAATGCACAAGGATGTGTCACCAAGATGACGCTATAAAAAATTCACAATGGTAGGACCAAATTCTAACACACAGATTTAATAAAATATGTTTACAAACTGTAAATGATGATACAAATCAACCTCAACTGACTCTTAAGTTTTCTAAAATTAAATCTGAGCTCAATAGCATTGTAAATCTAATTCTGACATTCAATGGTGTTTAATTTTTAAAAATATAATAGCATGTGTAAAGTCAGTAGTAGCTTAAGGACAAAATACTTGATGATTAGGAAGCGCGGTGGCTGAGTGGTAAAGTACTTGGCCTCTGAACTGGGGGTCCCAGGTTTGAATCCTGGTGAAGACTGGGATTTTTTATTTCGGGATCTTTGGACGCCTCTGAGTCCACCAAGCTCTAATGGGCACCTTATATTAGTTGGGGAAAAGTAAAGGCGGTTGGTTGTTGTGCTGGCCACATGACACCCTTGTTAACCGTAGGCCACAGAAACAGATGACCTTTACATCATCTGCCCAATAGACCACAAGGTCTAAAAGGGAAACTTTACTTTACTTTACATGATGATTAGAGAAAAACTTGGGACATTTATAATTAATTGTGATAACAGCCCAAGGAAATCTAAAGTAATATTGCTTTTCCTGAAGTCATTTAAGTTGTCTTGGTTAGAATTTTTTTAATAGAGTACGAAGGTAAAAGCTATGAAACTAATAGCTACGGTTTTAGAAGTTTCTGAGACCACTAGGGACAAAGATTCCTTAAATTTATGACAAAAAAAACCTCTATTTAAAATATTTCTACTTAAAATTACATTTTGAAATGGGGTAAGTTATTCTGCATTACAATTCAACAGAAGCCTTAAGTGACTAAATTTTTACATTTGATTCATACCAGTGCACTAGCTTTTTTTTTTTTATTATTGAAATGTGGGGCATCAAGAATTATGAAAAAGTAAGAAGCATAAGCAAGTGCCCCTTCCATATACCTCCCCGATAATATAAACCGCCATTGCCTATTGTTAGTAAGTGCTCAGATCTAAAGTAGGAAGCAAAACTACAAAGCTTATAAGAGGACATGTTTCACATTGAGGACATGTTTCACATTGAGGACATTTCACATCAAGGGTTATGTACATATAAAATATAAAAATTCTATATCAAAGAAAATAGCAGTAATGTCTGAAACAACACCAAATGATAGTTAACTCTTTAGCAACTATAAGCAAGATGTGTGAATTCTTCATGTAAACAGTATTTGAA